TCAAACCCGAGTTCGAGCATGGTTTTGCGCATACTCCTTTTGGCTGCTGCAGCTTATTCAGACAATCCGGGTAAATGCGTCGAAAATCGCCTTGGTGAGGCATGATTTTCCTTATGACAAAAGCAGGTGATAGTGCAAGTATGCAAATATTTGCATTTGTCACTTCAGATAGGAGTATTTTTACTTTTCGAGAAAAGTTATGTATCTTTGACTCATTTTTGTCTTTCCTTGAAAGTAAGAAGTGAAAGAAGTAAATAGTAAAAAAATGTTTCCAGCTCTTAAACACTATCTGTAATCCCTTTCGGGCTAGGTACGATATATAAAACGGCTTCTTAGCCTTTGCCACGACAATAATACACGTAATCACGAAACAATTTAGTTTAACAAGAAAACAATATTGACAAAAAAGGACAAAAATCGATGAGATGAATGATTGATGAGGTAAAAAACAAAAAAAAACTATCTCAAGCTAAGAAACTTCCTCGGATCCCTCAGCGCCGCTCTATTTATATCCTAAAATGCACGCCCAAAGGTCGCTTGGCGGCCCTTTCGTAGGTCGCCCCCGATGATCTCCACATGCTCTCCCGTCGGAAGAGCCGATGTCCTCAGCGGCTGGTTCCGTTTGAGCTCTGGCAACGCTATTTGCCTCAAGATTCTTCTTCTGATACACTCATATAACATTTTCGCACAGGTCACCGGACTGTCCGAGTTGTAATAAAAGAGGCATCCTTCCGGGGCTCCTGCTTTAATAAATATTCTGCCGTTCTCCACTTCGGTATTTGCCGTGGTCACGCAGTATCCTGGCTTTACTTGTCTCAGAAGCGTTAGGTCAAGGACCTTCCATAATTCTAACAGCCGCTTCCATTCTTCTTCGATCTTCTCCACGACAGGCGGCCAAACCGTTACTACCTTTCTGCCCTCTTCAAATTGCTGCATGCACATCTCCATCACTGCGCATATGTCGCTCTTCATCGCAATTTGGTCCCTTGGCCATACTAATACTCACGCCTCATGTTCTTTCCACCCCTGCAAGACCTCTCTGAGTTGCTTAAAAGTTGCCGCAACTTTCGTGTGTAAGCAGTTTCGCCCGTTTGGGTCCGTCCCTCTTTAGCAGAGTTGCAGGTACCGGTGCTGCAAATGCCGTTCCTCCTTCCTTCCTGGGCGTATGTCCTTTTTCCTCGCCTTCGACCTCAGCCTTGGTTCTTCTGAATGCCGATGTCATAGATTTTGTCGAACTCGTAGTTTTCGATCCTCTCGTGTCTCTTTATCCCCTCATTTGCGCAAATAAATTTCGGTCCAATCGATACATCTTTTGTATGCCAATCGTAGCAGCTTCCATAGTCCCTCCGGGTCCATGCGGACTGTTACGTCTTTCAACTTGATTTTTGAGGCCATGCCGATATCCGTACTGGCGAAAATGCTCGCAACTTTCAAGGCCGACCACAAATTTCCCACCGGCTCCTTTGCGAGCGCTCCTGGGAACTTAATCTCTTTTAGTTCGCCTAAGCTGACCTTCTTCAGACCGCCTTTATTACATTGATACTTCAGATGTCCTTTTCCCGTCGCCGTGCGATCACAGCACCTCTAAAGAAGACGTCATTAATCTCTTGGCAATAGCTTTAGATTTTCTTCCTCTTTTGCCCCCTATAGTCACTGTATCTACAGGCTCATCAGAAATACCTTGAGAAACTACTTTTAACATGTCAAAATGGACTCGCAGGGGTTTTGTATTATCACCTATTCTCGTTACCAGTGCAGAATTTTGGCTAGTCTTTAACACCTCAAATGGTCCAGCCCATTCTGACACTAGTTTCGGATGCGTGCTCATCCCTTTTTCTTTAGGAGACAAAAGTTAGACTCTATCGCCTATCTTTGGGAGTTTTTTACCTCCACCTTATTCCGCTCATCGTATAAGCGCTTCATTTCCTTTCTTATCCTATCAATATACTCTTTCACGCGTTCCTGTGTCTCTGCCACAGCTTGTAGCAACTGCGCCTGTAGTCATCCATATTTTCGACCATAGAGTACGGAGATTTACCTTCGTTAGGAATCAATGCAGACGGGAAATCAGGATCTTCGCCATGTAATACAAAGTATGGGTTTTCTCTTGTGGCACTATGCGAGGGTAAGATTATAAGCCATCATACAAAATGGTAATCTTGCATCCCATTCCACTGGCACCTTCAGACTTTTTCGCAGCATAGTCAGTATAGTTCCGTTCAACCTTTCCGTTATTCCGTTCTCCCGTGGGTTATACCCCTTCGTGGTTACATGCTCAAATTTTGTAATTTTGGTCAGTTCTGCCACACCCTATTTTCAAATTTTGCGCCCTTGTCGGACATTATTGTTTTGGGCCATCTAGCATACTTTGAGAAATGGTCAGTAACTGTAACAGCATATCTGTTTCCGCTCTTCGCTAGCCCTAATTCCAGTACGTCCCCCCAATAATTTCGTAAGGCTTCTCTGTAACCATTGGCTTCAGCGGTGGTCTTGGTGTCGTTCTAGGGTTGTGTACAAAGCACTGTTGACATTCTTTAGTCCATTTACTTGAGTCCGTTAACATGTTAGGGCAAAACATTGTTTCTTTAACGGATTCCATAGCTATGCGCGCTAAAGTGTCCGGCAAAGGTTCCTGCATGCGCTTCGCGAAATACTTCGTACCTCGCGCTTTTTGGCACTATCATAACTAGATTTCCTAACTAGATACTATAGATCTTTAGCTCTTCGTTTTCAATCTCAAAATCGGCTATTCGACTGGGATACCGTAATCCTGGTACGTTCACCAGTTTTTCCAGCAGTCCCTTTTCCAACAAAATGATAATTGGGCTAAAAACCTTATCGTTTTCTAACTCCTTGAACCATCTACTTTTCTGCTTTGCTTCTACCCTACTTCCTACTGCTTCTCCTGCCTCCTGAGTTTCCTAGACTCCACTCTCCACAGAACCTCTACTCAAAGCATACGCCATCACATTAGTCCTATTTTAAACGGAGTGATTGAAAACCTTGGCACGATCTTTTACCGAAGCAAAATCAGAAGAAATATTTCAAGTTCAGGCGCCAATGAAAAATTCATGGAATCACCTACGATACCTAATATAATTCAATATTTTTACTTTGGTACAATGAATGAGGTAAAACAAAAACTTCAATCTAGCTTAATCTATTAATTGAATCGCAATTACGAGAACACATTCACGAAATTATACCGTAATTTTCCAAGATTCAAGACCAACAAAACAGATAGGAAGAAAATACATGTTATTTGAGTTGTTTGTTTTGACGGCTTTTTTCCTATTATTTGACAAGTTTTGATTATCTGGCTCGCTCAGCTCCAATAAAATTTTGAATAAATTCTGAAGGAAAACCTAGTTAGCTTTGTTAACTTGGTAAAACGGTTGTGGAAAGGGTATTCAAATCTAGATCATACCACAGGTGCGATAAGTTGAGAATGACCCCTTCAGGATGAACGGGGTCACAGCGGTGAAAGCCCCTTCGTATTTCGATAGATGAACAGCAAGGAAAATGTTTTTAAACCAACTTGTCTTCCGCTTTTAGAGAATATATAGTTTGCCTGGAGTCTGTTGAAAAAGTGCCTGGTGAAGAGTGTGGATAGTGATTCGGATGAAGGGTGGTTGACCAAGAAATCATACGGAATACTTTGCAAACATGCACTCCGCTCGTATCTTATGTTCAGCTGTGGACTACTGAGTACTTGATTAAAATGGAGCTTTAATTTTTTAGCATTTACAAATTTTCTGAAAGAAGAAATTCGTATTTCGATAGATGAACAGCAAGGAAAATGTTTTTAAACCAACTTGTCTTCCGCTTTTAGAGAATATATAGTTTGCCTGGAGTCTGTTGAAAAAGTGCCTGGTGAAGAGTGTGGGTAGTGATTTTTGGATATTTTCGAGTTTTTAGGATAGAAAAATCCGTAAGTTTTGAAGATGAACATATTATACGCCTGGATGGTTACCGTTAGAACTGCCTCGTCCTCAGCTTCTAGAAAATATATGCAATGCCTAGAGTCCGTTAAAAAAAGTGCCTGGGTAAAGGGTGCCCTAGTGATTTCCCGGAGATCTAGTTTTTAACATTAAAAAAAATTCATAACTTTTGTAGATGAATATCTTTTACGCCGAGATGGTCACCGTTGGAACCGCTCGTCCTCCGCTTTCAGCAAATATAAACATGGTTCTTTAGAAAAAGTGCCGGGTAAAGGGTGGGTGAGATTTTTCTAATGGGAATGCTCAAGTAGACGTCTTTTTATAATGGTAAAAAAGCCTGTACTTGAGCACTCCCATTATAAAAGTCTCACCCACCCTTCACCCGGCACTTTCTCTAATTAACCCCAGGCAAAGTATATATTTTCTGAATGCAGAGGACAAGGCGGTTCCAATGAATGATAACCATCATGGCGTACAAAATGTTCATCTACAAAAGTTATGAATTTTTTTCTCGAAAATCTCCAAAAATTACTAGGACACCCTTCACCGCACTTTCTTGAACGGATCTCAGACATGGCATATACTCTCTGAAAGCGGAGGACAAGGCGGTTCCAAGGGTTATTATCTCTCCATAAAAGATGTTCATATGCAAAAGTTATGATTTTTTTATGTTGAAAACTCGAAAATGTCCAGAAATCACTACTCATGTCCGTCACCAAGCACTTTTTTTCAACAAGACTCCTCCTTTCCTATGCATAAACAATTCACGTACAAATATCTCTTTTGCTTAACCTTACCTCACTGTTGATTTTTTTCTCGGCTTTTGGTGAGGGGGGGTCACCTTGGTCCCGGCTCAGGGGTGAAGGGACGGTGAGAAAATTTTCACACTATCGCACCTGTGGATCATACAAAGAAGCGCACTAAACCCAGACAATCCCTTGTAATTTTTTTGTTTTTTTACTAATATGCATTCAGTCCTAGCCGGGAGGATTAGCTACTGTTCTTTTTTAGGTTGCGATATTTTGGAATAGCGAGTCGTTATGATGCTGAAACAAGCTTTTTGATAACAACATTTATTCAATCTAGACGCGTCACTTCTTGCTCTTTAGTTCATCAAGGGGTAAACATCGCTCTCACTTTTTTACCTGAAATATAAGTTCACAAAATAAAAGAGAAGACTCGAAAAAAGAAAAATTTACTTGTAATAACGGAAGTAAAGATTGGGTAGTTCTTTTGGAGATCCTCCTTGACAGCATCGCTTAGATTATCAAAATCAGCGATACGCCTGAACATTGGGGAAGCTGGATTTTGAAAGAAATGAATGAACAACATACTCATTGCCTTTCTTCTTAATATCTTCAACCGATGGTTCTTGCCCAGCACGAAGACTTCTACGCACTTCCTTAATAGTCTTGGCAACCTAAACAACCTGATTAATCAAAGGAGAGTCTAAGAAATGGAGCTAGAAGATTTTTTGTAGCTAAAATGATTCATTTATGGCAGAGAATTGCAGCTCCAAACCCTCACACAATTTACCGTACCCGAGGGCGCTGATTGGTTCGCGCAGGAAGAGTGTGTGATATCGGGAGAGGGTTCGAAGTCCATCCAAGAGAACCTTACCTTCATCACAAATTCCCTTGCTTCAGGTACTAGCCCGTAGCTCTTTCTACTGATATAATCGTAGAGCAGGTTTAATTTAGTAACCAAATTCAGGTGTTGTTGTATCAACGCATTTAGAAACTAAAAGGCAGATATTCTTTTGATGAAACCAAATCCAAAGTACCCTCACTTACCTCATTCTCGTCCTTGTACTTTGTGCAAACCGCCACTATCCCTTGTAGAACCTCTTTTTCTTCGTAGGGAAGGGTTTCGAGTTTTGTAGCTACATCCTCGGGAAAAAGATCTGAAAGGTGCAATTTTGTCCTTAAGTTTGAAAGCCAAATAATTAGGCAAGGGATTCACCTCGACATTTCTCTGGAATTTCCACAGCGGATGCAGAAAAATTGTAGACAATAAAGAGAGCAAAGAAGAGAGTTATTTGAAACATTCTGTAACAATTGCCTTTGAAAGTAAAAGGAGTAAATATGCCATGCGGAACATCCAGAACTTTCTAAATGCAAGCTTTGCTTGGAACTAAGCTTTGAGAGCTTGGTCAGTAAGACATTAATGCCAAGAAAATCATTTTGAGACATCGTCAGGGTTTATAGTCGACAGTTTCCTTCTTAGTGTGTGTAACTGCACAAACTCCTGACAGATTTGACGTTGTCTCCAAATACTGCTCTTCGTGTTTTTTCTTGTTTTCTTTTGTTCAGGCATGACTGTATTTAGATCAGTGCTAGTAAATACAATACATGTTTTACATGAGTGAAAATGTCAGCTACAGTTGAAGTGTGCAATTGCACACAGAAACCCAATATACTATCATTATTGTAGATCATATGGAAAAGACAGGGATATCTTGACAACTCAAGAAAACACTTAGCTATTTGGAAATAGTCCTCTAATAGGGAGAATGTTCAGATTAAGATATTTTTTTTGTGGGTAGAGTGTGCTAGTTTTGTTTCAAACGAGGTCTTCCAGAACAAGAAAATTTCTCTTCCAAAACAAGAAGATTTCTTTGTTGGGAAGAGTGTGCTGGTTTTTCTGTTAGAGGAAAAAGGAGATCTTTCAGATATCAAAATTTTCAACGAGTAAAGTGTGTTAGTTTTTTTTATGAGGGAAAAACAGATTTTTCAGATCAAGATTATCTATTTATTTGATGGGTAAAGTGTACTTCTTCCACCATGAGGGCAAAGGAAATTGCTTGGAGCAAGAGAATCTCTTTGACGGGTAAAGTATGCTGCCTCTTTTATGAGGGAGTATGTTTGTAGCAACCTTAGCGAGTGCAAAAAAATTTTTTTTGCACGATAAAGTTATGAGAAGTTTTCGAGAATTTTTCAAGATAGTATTAACTTTTGTTCTGCGAAAAGCCAGGAAAAAATGTGAAATTTTTGCGTTCGAAGGGATATTCTTTCAAATAAACAGCATTTCAAATAAATTCTATCTGAATTAGAGATTACATTCGACAACCGTTATGACAGAAGTAATATCAAAAAGAGTTTTTTGCTCTTCACTTACAAGAAATTGTCGCCAAATTCGATAGAGTTCGAAAAATGCAAATGACGGGAAGTAAAAAACCAGAAGTCCCTCGTATTTTTGCTGTTTTGCTGTTACCATTTTTTGTATTTTTTGCCCTAATCCTAAATTCAACTGAGCTTCTTTGCATTACAAAAGAAGAGGCAGATTTTGCACCACCAAAAAAATTTTCAGTCGTTCAAAGTTTCTTTTTAAAGACCACTGGATGCAATTGCATTTGTTATAAGAAAAAGTTATCAAACAATTCTTTTATAATCCCAATCTCTTCATGCTCAGAAATCAAAAGTAATTTTAGCAACTGAAGATCCTACCATGGATAGGATAGGATCATCCAACAGCCTAACGCATAACTGAAACTCCAAAAGTGTATCTAGGTTTGCTTCAAAAGCTGCTCTTTACTAAAGCTAAGGGAACGTAAGGCAAAGAAAACTTGTTGGGTGAATGGCGGATCTTCCTGCAGCTGGTTTATATACAGTGTTTGTAAGTCCGAAGTTCGATCTCTTTGGCAATGACTTTTGTGACTGACTCAGAAAAATGATCGGATTATTCATTCTGTATGCTTCAATTCCAAAAAAATCTTAGGTTAGGCTACTTAAAAATGAGTCAAATCTATCGTGTGACTTCGAAATCTTCTTACTTTAATTCGCCAATTCGTTAAGTTAATTAGTTTAAGATACAAATCCGATTGGTTTTTTTGCATCGCGTGATATAATCTTGAATTGTTTGAATCTTGACATGATCTAAGTTTGTTCAAAATCATCTAAATTCCAAAATTTTTGCTACAGTATCATGGTAATCCTTGTACAGTATATCTACAGTGTTTTTTTAAGTTTTTATCACAAGGAGACCAATTTTTTGAAATAAAAAGATTGGATAAGTGAGCTACATCGTTGAGTGTCCACTGATTATTACCCTTAGTCTCTGTTAAATATGGTACAGCAAAAGATGCACAAACTTTAGATGGTAACAGTCTTCGATCTATCATGTGCCACTAGAAAACTGAGATCCAGTGAAAGATTTAAAAGCAGATTTTTAGTAATAGGTTGGCACATAAGTTTTGCAACTTTTCCCAATTTTTCTCGTTTCATGTAGCAAATTCCTTCTCTGGCATCAAGTAGATTGTGTGTAAGCTGCTCTGCGCAAACCGCTCAATTTTTAAAAACATAGTAGAAAACTAAGCATTTTCGAAAACTGCTGCAAATCGAATTTCACAGTTTTTTGGCAAATATGAAGCCGTACAAAACCTGAACCGAACATATCAAAAAGCAATCATAGGCAGTATGTAGTTAAAGTTAACACATCAGAATCATTAAAAAAGAAATAAAATAGAGACAAATCAAGATAGAGCGCCTTCGGGAAATTCAACAAGCCAAATGCGTCAAATTTGGAAGGCTGTCTTCAATAGCTAAGCAGCGAAAAGTCAGAATTCGCTAAAATTTTGCACACAAGGTAGTCCTATAAGTTTAACATGAATATATACCATTTGCCGCTCAGATAAACATTCATTCCGTGGCTTTACAAACGAGGCCTTTTCATGCAAAGGGGTCTCATTTTTGCGATCAGCATGCGAATAACCCCCATAGCCCATGTTTCAACGAAATTTGACGCAACCTACAAACTTTCCCATTGTACCGTAAGCCTAACGAAGCTCTTACATAACTTGGCAAAATGCGGCAAAAATATCTGCATTTGAAGTTTACATCATAATCTTTTTATTGCCGAAAAATGAATGCGCTACGTTCAAAAGGACAAAATTTATATAAAAAGTTGCATTACTTATGTGCCACCCAATACAGAGCTGTCCATTCAAGGGTACATCAAAAAACATTCATTATCGGAACTTGACTTTCCCAGTCCCAGTCTGTTAAAATTCCGTACGGAATCTCGCAGACATCAGGCGAGAATGGCCGAGAGATAGTTGAGCGCTTTCCCAAAAGTTACCAACTCAACAGCCAAATTTGGAGCTATGCAGGTCTTTGAAGAAGAAAGAATAGCTTTCTAGCTTACTGAATCTCTGAAGTTGTCACTTGCTAAATTTGACGTCATTTGGTGAAAAACTGATCTGAATATTCACGACATTACCTCAAAGGGAATGTCCCGGCAAAATCTTCACCTCCGGTTTTTCACCTTTCCGAGCCTTCTCGCCATGCTGAACCCGTATCTGAGCTTGTAGCACTTGAAGAAACGAAAATCGACTTTTTTCGAGGTTTTTCATGTTCTGCTTTGCTGGAGGATGCGAATGGGCGGGGTCCGGAAGACGTCTGAAGTGGATTTCAGGCTTTCCAGACAGCACCGCTAGATTAGTTGGGGAATTGCCCTGCGCTGCTGTAAAAAATCACCCATCATTTTGCCGGAACGCTGCCTTTGTGTTGCTACACTACATGGGTTTGACCTCCAACAGCTGGTTCTGCATCTATATAAAAACAATAAGGTTAGACAGGCTTATGCAACCTCTTCTATGCTTTTTTAGGAATTTGAAAGGCTTTTAAAACGTTAATTTATAGGCAGTGTCCCGGGCAGATTCGGGTCCTGGGGGATATACGTGTGGTGGGGTTCCTGGTCACCCCATCGACCTCCAGACGCACTCCGGCTGGGTGATATTCCCCCTGGGCCGAGAAAATGGCCCTTGAACCGGCGCGCGCAACCCCAACTGGCGCGCGCTTGGACGGCCTTCCCCGCCTGTTCGGCGCGGGACCCCACGAGCGCTCTCCCCCATGATGCATGCTATCCAAAGCAAGAATTACAGGCGGCAGGATCTTCGTCTGAGGACCTCCCCCAACTTTCCATCAAAAATCTCGTCCAAGCTGCTTTTCTGAAATTAGGAAAACGCCCCAAAATCGGCCTTTTCAGCCCGTTCAAAGCTCAAATTCGGATTCTACGTGGCAAAAGGCCTAAAACATGCAAAAAGGTGGAGGTGCAAAATCTGCCGGGACACTGCCTTTATATATAAAGCTGAACATCTGTTTGTCTGCATGTATGTCTGTATGTGTATACGTATGTTCCTAATAGAAAATTCCATTTCTGAACCGATCTGGACCAAACTTGGCACACATACACTTCGGGCCCCGGCGGGTGTCATAGGCTACTTTTCGTCATCGATCGATATCGATTTCATCGATTTTTTGCAAAGTTTGAGCTACGAGGCTAGGAGTTTGCACAGGGGGGTAATCGAGCATGCTGATTACCAAAACAGCGGGAATAGTGATTTGGCATGTAGGCGTGGGCACATGGAAAGGTTCGTACAGGAATAGGGATAGTGTTCTTTGACATAGTGTTTTGACAGGGCTGGGCGGAGCCGGGTAAGCAAGCTAATTAAACAATAAAAATGCGCTATCTGATGTCCATGTGGCAATAAAGATTTCCCCTTTAAAAAACACCAAAGCAAATAAACTTCCGAAAAATGCATGCTAAATGCTTACCGTAACTCTATATCCCCATGGAAGACGTTACTGTTAGCATGACACTTGTGATCGGTAAGTCAGGCAACCCCCGCAGGAGAATTTCCAACATTTGGTCTCTTGAATGTTTCTATACTTCTGGATGTATTCGTTCCCAATGAATAATCTTTATTAAAAACCTCAGCAAGTGCTTTCAGCAGCTCTCCATTTTCAGCTTGCCAAACCACTCGCTTACAAAAACACAACTTTCTGTCGCGGCCAACCTCGGGCTTGAAAGTATTTTTATGATGCTCAAAGATGGAAGAATAGTGCAGATTAGATCCATGTTTACCCCTTCATTTTACATAATCTTACGATGAAAAGCTAACTTGAAAGCAGATTTGATTTTCGTGAGAGCAGACTGGATTACATCTATGAGCGAAATTTCTAGAGAATATTTTTGGGTTTTTGTTTGATATCACACTTCAAGCAGGCTTTCGCCGCGCAAACCTTAGGCTGACCGAAAACCTTGCAAGTAGAGGTCTCATAGACAACTTTTTACGAAAATCAAAGTTGTTTCATTGTAGCATCTTACAAAGAGTTATAATGCAAAAGATGGAACTGAACAAAAGAACAAAAATAACAAAGAACGAACAGGACAAAAATCGACGCTTTTTTCGCTGGACTTAAGTGTCATTGTCCTCGATTGTAACATATTTCTATTGATATCGGAATGAACCAAACAGGCGGGAGGAATTAACC